TAGTGAATTATACAGGTATTCTGCTTACTCTTTTTTTATGAGACTTTTTAATCTAAAAATCTATCTGAAGATCTCTTCATAGACTTTTTAAATGTTATCTATGAAAGTGGTGATTACAATTGATTTATTAGTTTTAATTTCCCGAAGAAAATATTTGCTAATGTGGTTAAATATATTTTTGAAGAGGGCAATTTACAAAGTGAGTTCCAGACAGGATTTAGAAGGGCGTATTGTGTTTTGGATCATTTGATTAAAAAAACTACACAAAATCCCAGCAACAGACCCAATACTCAGAAAAACGAAAGAAACTCATTTGAATAACTCAAGAAAACATGAGAGGAGAAACAGCCCCAATAAATAACCCTGTGCTGGTTCACTTAATTTGATAAATGTTAGCCTTTCCCAAAGAAGGCGAAAAACTTAGTTTTTTTTGTTGATCTTAAGGCAGCTTTCGATACTATTTACTATCTGTTTTTCGAGTTATTTAATCTGGCGTTTCTTGAAAGTTCATTAACATGGTGTTCAAACAAATTTTCAGATATTTTTTTTTTTTACTAGGAGACTAGGATTTAAGTCTTTTTCTTCTCTTCCTGATTGTAGACAATCTCCCCTCAACTCTACAATATAACATGGTGTTACTTAATTATTATACAGTTTCCCAATTACAAATGTATACAATACATAAATTTATATTGTCAGTAAATAAAACAATTGAAAATTTTGAAATCCATATTAAATTAAAACTATCTAATTAATATTAACAATAAAATATTTAATTTTTTAATGAAGTCTTCCGACATCATGTCCTTATTAGTTGAGGTTTTATTTAATAAATTTAATAAAAACTTGTGTTTTAATCTAATGCACTTTTGTTTTTATTTTATTTGTTCCATTCGTTCACATTAATTTAAGCTTTAAATTTGTCTTTTGCAACCCTAATGATTCCCATAACAGACACTGGATCAGATGAACCATATTTATCCAGAAGAGATTTCTGGGTGACTCTCATAAAGGGATTATATTGTTTTTCTTCTCCTGAAATAAACATTAATTAAATACATAAACACTATTAATCTATAGCAAGATGTAATGGGCACCTATGGTCGATGGTACTGTTGGCAAATTTTTATTCCGTTGGCTTTCAGACCAGGTTAGTTTGTTAATGACATCTTGGTTGTTTGGCTCCAGAGTTTTAGCAAATTTTAGATTTGCTGTAGTGTATTCATGACCACAAAAAACTTGCTGTGTGACAATCAAAGTTAGTTTTAATTATTAGACAGTAGTATGCCAAAAACATACTGTTTCATCTGGCAATTTCCCCAATTTTTCAACTAACGCACTGTACATTTGTGCAGGTGTTCCTTCAAAGAATCTACCACAGCCCGCAATAAACAGAGTATCACCTATGGGCATTAAATTTAGAATCTAGAGAATCACATATTAAATAGCTGATTATATAATATAAATGTATATTTTATATTTTTTTAAAACAAAAACGAAGATATTACAAACCAGTAAACACTGCAGGTTTTTGGTCAGGCCCAGTAACAAAATAACAAATATGGCTTGACGTATGACAAGGCGTTGAAATACATTTTATTTTCAGCCTGCCTAAGTCAATAGTATCCCCTTCTTTGACTATATGTGTAATTCCTCCTACTCTTTTGTCTCCTCCATAAATCTGAACTTTGGTCTGCTTTGCTAGATCTTCATTGCCTCCAGAATGATCCCTATAGTGATGCCCATGAATACACAAAATATAATTTAACATACGTAACAAACCAGTGATGATGTGTAGTTAACACTTTGGTCAAGTTTCCACCTTCTTTCCTTACTTCTTTAAGTACTTTTGCAGGTTCAACTGGATCGACAACAGCGGCTTCTTTTGTTTGCATGTCCATTACCTGGATTTTACAATTCAGCTGCATACTAATACGATCAGTTTAATTATAAAGATTTTTGCATACACTTACAAGGTACATGTAGTTGTCAGACAAAGCTGGAATCGTTTTGATCATCATGTTGTTTCCAATTCTGAACTTAAAATATGTTCTAATCCCTTCTTTACAAACAGCAGGTAACCTACAAAAAATATGTCTGAATGTACAAGTATGGAATTAGTATTTACAAATGAAAATTGTAATTTATTATATTCTAGATACTTTTTTATATCTATCTTTATCTTTAATTTTTACACATTTAATTAACACAAACTTATAAATCAATATTAAATAATATTTTTGGAGGTCATTCTTTTATAAGGTAAAAGGTTAGATTGTGTTGGTTCCCAGTGATAATAGTTACTGCAATGGTATTTTATGCTATACATACCAATACATTGAATTATACATTTAAAATCTGCCCAACTACAAAAAATTGACAAACAGTATAACATTTTACAAAATACAAACAAGTTTATAACATTGATTTAAATAAGTTTTCAGCTTTAATAGACACTTGTTAAAAAAAATTCTACTAAACACAGGTTAATTATGAAAACAACTTTATTTTTTTAAACTTAATTATAACAACTTCATTTTACACACTTCCCTCAACAACAATTTTTATTTTCATTTTTTCATACTTACAACACTGTTTACCTTAAAGAAATAAGTTTTACTGAACAATGTTATTACCAATATGTTATATAATTATGATGATTTGATTAATGGTAATAGTTTTAGTTTCAGGCCCTTTTTATATTTATGGTTTTTATATACTAAAATATATTTAAAAAAGAATCAGTTAAGTGTGATTTCTATAATTGACATTGATCTTCATAAATATTTTTTTTAAATTAATTAATTTTTTAAATTTATTTTATTTATTTATTTTTAACCCTTCTATAAATCAAGTTCAAATGTAGGCCCGCTGGGATTCAAACCCGGGATCCATTAACTATACGTCTAAACAATGTTAATGATAAATAACTTTGTTAATAAACTGTAATAAAAAATAATAATAAACTAATAAGTTAATAAGGTACAACAAACTATAAATAACCTAGTTTGTTCATATATTTATATAATACATATATATATAACTATAATGTAAAATTGGCACAGAGGTTTTCACTAAGTGCAATAAATCTAACACAAAATAAGGATTTTTTCCCCCAACATTTTGGTTTTGTCAGGGAGGTGCAGAAGCTATAGCTTCACCACTGATCAAGTTTTCATCATGGTAATTCTTCTTGTTTTTTACATGCAGTCCAACTGAAGTTTACTAATGACGAAATGCGTCTGTGGGAGGCAGGCCAAGTTGATAGAAGTTTGTCTAGCCAAAATTAGATGTATGTACATCACAGAATATACAAATACTACCGTCTAATAAAATTAATTCATAGTAAAAAAGTGTAAATTGTGTGTCTAAACAAGAAAATGACTAAACAATTTAAATCAGTGTACATATACATAATATATAATGATTGAAAAGGGGTGCATGAATATGAATGCATGAATTTTGAATTTTCATACACATGTGTGTTGCACGTGTAAGGTGTGTTTAATTTTATTTTACTTCTTTTTTTTTACTTTATAATAAAATGTTAACATTTATAACAAGTTAATGTTATAGTTGCCTTTTTTGATAAATTACCAAAATATAGTTATACAATTATACAAAACAAGTACATCCATAAGACATACTGGCTGTTCTAGATGAAATAGAACTTTACAACATTCAATTACATGCCACCTGATGAAAATAATATTCAAAATAGTGTTGTGTGGTGATTAGTGACCGTTAATTGATAATTATTCAGAAATCGTGAGATGCGGTCTGGTGTGATGTAGGTTTCAGAAAAACATTTTCTTTATCGTGCCAACGTTTCGATCTTTATTGAGATCATCTTCAGGGCCTGGGATTTACAAACTTTGTTTAAATTTAACAAATACATATAGGATGTGGAAAAAAGTGAATTTATACAATGCAAAAAAAAATATTTTAAACTCAAAATATTTCTATTCACTCAAAGTGTTAATTTTCTGTGTAATTGTGCCATTCTTGTGTGTCGTGTTGAGAGTGCCAGTGAGATTTTGCTGTTTTAGCACTCTCAACACGACATGCAAGAATGGCACAATTACACAGAAGACAAACACTTTGAGTGAGTAGAAATACTTTGATTGAATATAAAAAATATATTTTGCATTGTATAAATTCACTTTACCACATCCTAAATGTATTTGCTAGATGTAAACAATGTTTGTAAATCCCAGGCCCTGAAGATGATCTCAATAAAGATCGAAACGTTGGCACGATAAAGAAAATGTTTTTCTGAAACCTACATCACACCAGACCGCATCTCACAATTTCTGAATAATTATTCATGATAGTAATTCGATTAGATTCTTAGACCAAATAGTTGTAACAATTAATAATTATGAAGGAAAAACTGTTTTACAAACAAAAGTTAAATTTATCTCTTCAAAATTCATTAAAGACACATAGTACAAATGTACAGACATGTAACATTTAGCATGGACCACAATGCACAGTGTGTTTAAGACATTTGATTATTATATTTAACAGTTTAGCGATCTGGGTTCAAATCCTGGCACACATCCTTTGAAATTTTAAATGAGAATAATTTGACAAAAAGCATTTTGAGATGATTGGACCTCTTGTCCATGACGCCCAATGGATTTTAAACCCTCCTCACTCACTCTGCATTACTTGACTTTAGGCGTTTATAAAAAATATATTTTTGAAAGATGCATTAAGCTTTTATTAACAATGTATTTGCATAAAATATTGTGTATATTTATAATATTTATTCAGATATAAATAAATTTATTTTCAGTGTTAGATATAGCCACATCTATTAATGGAGAAAAAAACCGTTATTGTGGATCATGATGAAAATAAAATAAAATATTATATAGACTATGTAATATATATGATAAAAACAACTGAAATATCAATTAATCTTTTTTTATTAATATATTGAATAATCTTTTTTAGTTAAAACTAAATAAATGTAAAATAAATAAAAAATTAAAAAATTTTGCTTTGTCCACAAAAAATTTAATAAAAAGAAGTTAGCAGCCATAATACACAGGTAATGAAATTTTTATAATGATTATTAAAAATGGATTTCTCTTGTTTAAATGTAACACTAAACAAAGAACATAGGACTGCTCTGGGCAAAATCAGGTTTGATCTCTCTTTTTTTCTCTTCGTATTTTAAATTGGAGAGATTTATTCCTGCATTATCTATATATGATCTGACCCTAAATGCTGCTAAATGAGCATAATAAGTAGGTGCAGGATATGAAACCGATCTTGTACATCTAGTAAATAAGTGACAAAGGTAGAATGTTATCTCTTCTAAATCATCTTCAGACATGTTGCTATCATCACAGAGCAAATGGTACTTTGTTGGTCGACTTGTTCCTTGAATACTAGCATGAGACACCAAATAAAAATCCAATTCTGTAGGGTGAACAATTTCAGTATCAACAACAGTACCAGCAGGAACGTTTTTGTTTTTCCCTTCTGCATCATTTGGCCCAGGAAAGAATCTAGTGTGATGCCGTTTTTGAACAACTAAAAATGTGATTAATGGCTCATATTCTTTTGAGAGCTTTTTACAAGCCCTTCTTATAGCAAGTACTTCTTCATCTATGACTTTTTTGAACTGACCCTCTGATACACCATCTCTATAAAATAAAATAGCATGAGGCTTGTGATTGGTACGTTTATAAAAAACCATTAGTTGTTCTCTCATAATATTTTCCAAATCCTTGATTATTTCTTCTCTAGGAGGCTGAATCCTATATATCATGTTATAAAGAAATGCTTTCGGATCATGACTTGCTGCAACAGCAGCGACTGAAGGCACATTGACTTGATCTGGCGCCGGGTGGGTCACATCAGCACCGACTACCATTACAGGTTTTTTGAAGAAACTAGGCCAGTGACCCGAAGTAATCGAATGATTTATTCCATTGAGTTTGGCATTAAGTTTTAAAAGTATATTTGTGACAGTTGAATTACTGTTACATTTCGTAAGTGTCCTAGATTTAATGCACTGGGTTAATACCCCAACTTTAAGCTCAGCCATTTGCTTAACTTTTGCGTATGTTACAGGTCCTCGATCAGGCAAGACAACAAAAACTACTTGTGCAGTACTGAAATTGGTAAGATCATGTTCCAACTCTCTATGATGGCTCATAATTTTTCTTTCTTTTGGTTCTTTTATAACCATTCCGACTTCTTTGCTGACTTCCATCAGTTTATAGGCCAGATCCTTTAACTTTTTATCAGGGACTTTGGTGTCTACAGAATAAATGTACCAATGCTCCAAATTGCAAGGTTTCAAGAATTTTCCAGAACGCCATACGCCACTTGACACACGAACACTTTGTTGTTCTTTGTATTCAAGAGTTGGTGGATCTAAAACTCGAGCTGGCACTTTTGTAAATTCTGACGACACTGACAGACCAAATTCCTGAATATACGGATCAGTGTTAAAACTCACTGTACGTATAGAAGCTTCAATCTTTTTTTTCCTCTCGTAAGCAGGGACAGCAGCAGCTCTAACCATATTCCTTGTTTGAGTTTCATTCATTTTTTTCATAATCACTTGCCCCTCTTGAATTTCACAGAGCTCTATAGGAAGTGAAATTGGGCGAGCTTTTGAACCACATTGAAGGGTTGGTAAATTAATGAACTCTATGTTATAACCATATTCATCACAATAATATTTCCAAACAGAAGTTTTACCTTTGTCGGGAATTTCAAAAATATTATCTTTAGCTGGAAGACCTAAATCAATCACTTTATATGTTCTTCTTTGAACTAAACCGTTAACTCTTGGTGGGATGTATACTACTTTTAAACCTTTAATAAATGAACGGAAATTAGAGTGGCAATACTGGTCTAAAGAAGTAGTCGGTTCAATTTTGTTCACTTGCATGAACTTTCGAACTGCTTCAACACATTTCACTGGACTTGGGAACCCTTTATGAGCCACATCTATATTAAGATAAGGTTTCCAACCAATTATAGCACTTTGGAAAAATCCATACCATAAATCAAGCCCATCTCCAAGTGGAATCACTTGATCAGGGGGTGTAAAATAGGACCTGCCTACTTGGCAAAAATTTCTAGCTGACGGCTGTCTTAGAGCAACATCAATAGCTTGAATTGCATCTTGTGGAATGTTAGTGGATTCACCACCTTTCATATATTCAAAAATAGAAGATAAATTGACAGTGTTGACCCATTTTATTTTAACAGTTAATTCTCTGTCCTTTCCTCTTTCGTTATCATGCACATGCACATTATGAATCAAGACATCGTCTTCAAAAGGAAGTTTTCTAACACTGTAAATATTTTTCTTCCCATCAAATGATGGATAATTTTTTGGATAACGTTCACAACGTACCATTTCAAGAGCTTCTCTATAAAATTTGTGAGGCTTCTCTGGTTCAACTACTACATCATAATGATGTATAATTGCATTTTTATTCTTAATATCAAGATTTAAATGATTTGTATCTACAAGGATTTGTCTTCCTCGATTTTCTTTATCTGGTCTGCCTTCAACTCTTTTGGGAATAAAGCTTGCCATTCTTAGATCTTGAATGTGTCTTGGTGAATCGGTTTGTGCAATTTTATTAGTCGTTAACTTTGTAATTGGATAATCGAGAGAGTCATGTAATGGCTGCTTCAAGATTTGTGGTTGAATTTTTGGAATGGCACCACCTCTTTTTTCTTCGGGTGGCAACTCTGTCAAATACTGAGCCTGTGAACCCCATGGTTTTCCTTTAAATTTTGTCAGAGTAGGTGAAGCCAAAACTGTTATAGGAGAAGAAAATTGTTGTTGTTGCTGTTGTTGCATAAATATTGATTGGTTAGCCAATGGCCAGGGTGGCCCAGCTAATCTGTGTTTCACATGATGCTGCAGCTGATTGCGAACTTGAGCCATATCTCCTCGCTGGGGATTCCAGTTGCTCACTTGTGGATAAACTGGCTGAAAAGAGACTACACTGTCAACACCCCTTGTGGGCAAAGTTGGAAAATCCTTTTCTGGTTGAAATCCAGGATGGCATAAAATATCTGCATCACCACCTCCTCTTTGAGCAAATTTTGATGTTTGGACCAGATTGGTCTCAGATTTTCTAGTTAACTGCCTCAAAGAACTGCCAGTAGTACTTGGCTTACTGCTGCTAGTAGTACTGCAGCTGCTTTCAGATGGAGATTGTACACCTCCTCCTGAACTACTTGTGCCACTACTGCTGCCACTGCTGCTTGTTTTCTTCTTTCCTTTCTTACCCATGTTTAATAACACGTGATCACTGATTCAATGCTAAGCCTGCCAACAGAAATAAACAAGTAAAAAAGGTTTTTTAAAATATATATTAACTATATTTTTATACTCGATAGCAGCTTTTATTTTATTTAAATATACAAACTTATACAACAGCAAAAATTGCCTTTCTGTGATTAAAATTTTATTGAATTGTTTATGCTAATTTTGTATGTTGACTTTTTCATCAAAACATTAACAGTTTATATTTACAATATTGATTAAAAATAACTATAATTGTTATTAAAACATATTAAATTATATATANTACATTTTACAGAGATTCTTACACACAAACTTTCAGACAATAAAAATCATTTTCATCAGTGATTTCCATGTGTTAAAACAAAGTGAATTTTTTCACATTTATAGCTTGTAAATCAACTTATCTTTACATAAGATCTTTTGAAAATTTTTTATGGAAAATAAAACAATAAAAACACAAATATAATTTCTCAAGTTGTGCTATAACTACATAACATTTGAAATGCAACATTAACATAGTTTGTACTAAGGACAGTTAATATATTATTACAGACTAAACAAATCTACATTATTGTATGTGACTACTTACAAATAAAAACTGGACTGAAAGAAGAAAATATTCAATGATTGATTCAAATGTTACTGAGAAATTAAATATCCTACTTCACAAGAAGAATGTCATCCAATGATGATTTTTAAAGTGTAAGGCTCAGAAATCAGCTGAATTCTAGAGGGGAGGGATTGGGTGAATCACTTTGCCAACAAGTATGTAAATATGAATGTAAATTAACTGTTATAATTCATTTCACAATTTTTACAACATTTTCTGCTTACTACCAGTCTTATATTTTATTTATAATTGAGACTTGTATCATGTAAAAATAATATGAAGCCATCAATATGGAAGATAGTAATGTTTGAACAGGACTGCATCAATTACTTTTTTATAGTTTAACTTTTTGTTCATACTAGTGGCTAACTTTTGTGGTTATGGTCTACAAACTAATGCTAAAATAATAATAAAAATGGCAATTAAGATATAATTTTCTATATAACCATGTGACCAATACCTTTTCTGGCATTACATTTTTAATCAAATAGTACATACATGCAGGTTAATCCTTCTTAATAATATTTTCTTTATGTGAAAAAAATGGATTTAAATTTACAATAGACCTCTTTTATACAGTTAACCGAATCACAGTAAACTAAACACTTTAAAACAATAATCATAAATAATAAATGTTTGCTGATACTATAGCCCTGTGTACTAATGTACATACTCTGTACTGACTCATTTTAAAAAATCCGGCCTAATGTACCTACACCCAGATTTCCCAAGTGAACACAAATAGACAGAACATTGATGAAAATATTTTAGCAATGCCACATCTAGAAGGGGGATCAAAAGTGCAAATTGAAGAAGTGGCAAAATGAATCTTAGGTAATGAAGAACCTCTCTAAAATTATCAAGCTTGTGCCAAACCACTAAGTTATCAATACACTGATAAACTGAAATTCCTGAGTTGTGCCATCCCAAACCATTTCCATCTAATATACCCAAAAAGAGTGAAAATTGCATGTCTGTTTCTTCCCACCTCCTTCCAGGGTCTGTTGTCATTTTCAACAATCCACATCTTACAAAGGGACGAATAGGCTGATGTCTAAAGGATTTGGACTAAACATTTTTTACTGATTCTACACTGCAATATATCAGAAATGTATCCGCCACTTCTTGTGAATAGGCCTGGTTTCGCTTAAATTTTTTTTTGAAAGTTGAAATTTTCCGCTTTTTAATATTTTTATTTCGGCGTTCTACTTGCTCAAATCAATTATGTGAACATATCAATGTACAGCATTTGTTTAAGTAGATTGCAATAAAAATATTTTAAAAATTCTAACAAAAAATTTCTGAAAACCATATATTTTTCAAGTAAAATGTCATTTTTTCATGAAACAAATTTAAAACTGCATTTTAACACCTCAAGATACCCCTACCTAAATATTAGAAATATATAGAATATATTTCATAATTATTATATTATTTCTAAATATTTAGAAATTTTTTGGTTATTGATAAACTTTGATAGATTTTAGTATATTTGTATTGCAATCTACATAAAAAAATGCTGTACATTGATGTATTCACATAGTTGATTTGAGCAAGATGTTACATAAACATCCTTAAACTTATCAAACTCCTTTTACTACAAAATATTATTTATGCATATCTATCAATAGTATATATTAAAACTAGAATGACCATCCCTGACCAGGCCACACTCTGAAAAATTTAGTTTTATTTTGGGTATTACAGTGTGAAGGAGTGTTGCCACTGAGCAACTCTTTTCACAAGTGATTCAAACAAAAATCAGCACTATAAAATATTTATTTAATACAATATTTGTAGGTGTAAAAAACAAACAAAAGTAATTTTAAAAAATGGGTAAAATTAGATGAGTTGTCATTGTTTCTAGCTCACTTCTAATACCACAAAGTATTTTTTTGAGAACTCTGTCCCCAAAAACCTGGGAAGCTGTCGTTTTTTCACTGTACACTGTTTTTCACCCCACTTTTTGAAGATCTTGATATAGTTGAGATGTAGATTCAGGCGATATGCTTTTTGCAACATTTTATGATACGAAGTTTTTTGAAAATCGCTAACCGAATTCGAAATTCTTGCTGTGGTAACCATATCCATAGTATCCACAAGTGTGTTTACCCAAAGCACTAAGCATATAATATATCTTTAATATATTATTAAGAAAATTATGTTTTTTAAATTCCAATTTGCAACTTTTTTTTACATTAGGATACCAGAAAAGTGCAACCAACCAACTATATACATGATATACTATAAATATGAACTATATTTAGCTTCTTATATATGAATATAAAATATTATTTGAACATATTAAAATTAATTAAAAATGTACTTTGAAGGAAAACAATCTTATTTTTTGTCAATATGTTGATGCATAACTATGGAATAGTATGTTTAAACACAACATTACCTTGATTTAGTGAGCAGTACAAACTGACAGGCTTTTGCAACTTTAGAAAATCCTGCTCCTATCATACCTAAAACCACAAAAACTGTAAATTATTTTGTATGAAATTCACACATTGATATAAACATATATGAACATTTCCAATCCAAGATTCCCATTTTTTAAATCTGTGTAGAGATTAGTGACCATTAATCGATAGTTATTCAGATATCGTGAGATGCGGTCGGGTGTGATGTAGGTTTCAGAAAAACATTTTCTTTATCGTGCCAACGTTTCGATCTTTTATTGAGATCATCTTCAGGGCTCAAAGTGTTTGTCTTCTGTGTAATTGTGCCATCCTTGCGTGTTGTGTTGAGAGTGCCCGGGCTACCTTGATTTATTTATTTATCTTTCAATAAAAGATTGAAACATTGGCACGATAAAGAAAATGTTTTTCTGAAACCTACATCACACCCGACCACATTTCACAATATCTGAATAACTTTTTTAAATCTGTTCAATGTTTTAAAACTACTTAAATCATATTTTTTACATATTTTAACATTGTGAGAGAATTTTTTAAGGACTGTGGGGGGTGAAGAAATGGTAATTTGATTCATTCCTAAATATGGTAGCCAAGCTCCAACAATTTTGGTGCATCACAAAGACACACCAAAAACACATCTGTAGGAAACCAGTCGTCTTTTGTTAGTTGGGCAATGCAGGTCGATTTAGATCATTTGCTAACTTTAATCACTCCAACTGTGTATAGTAGCTCATTATAAAGCACCCCATTTTAATCCCGCCAAATGCACAACATTAGCTTCTACGGAGATAATCCAGTATTGGTGTTTGTAACATGGGACCTCTCTGAACATTGCTGTAAAACACCCACTTTTTATGGCCAGTTATCAATCAATGGAGAAACCCATACATCTACAAACATATCCACTACTCTCAGATGTGTTGAAACACTTGTGTAGCTATTTTCAGTGTTTATGTGATAACTCGTGTTGTCAAGTGTGGGTTATTTTCTGACAAAAGCTTGAATTCGGCGACCAGTGAGCTTTGCGTTTTCCAAATCCAAACGTTTTTCTCCCCATTTTAACTCAATAAAACTCCTCGTAAAAACACATAATCTCTAACGAAACTGACAAATAAAAACACCTTAATTAATCAGGGTGTAAATGATGATGTCTAAATAAACATTGCTTCACAACACTAGAAGGATCAAATTGAATTGTTAAACAACACTACGGACTTATTTTACAAGCCAATTGATCCATCAGTGTACCAACAGGTTGTACCTTCCTTATTTAGACTATTTTGATCATACACTTGGCCCTGCATTAGAACCCGACATACTTACAAATGGGATTTTTTCAAAAATACCGGTCCCCGAGGTCTCATATAATCTGATAGTTGAAATGCCCTTGTTAAAAAAAAATCATACATTCAAACTTGAAGATCTTGTTCAAGTCATCTCTGTCATGACTCATGAGTATTGGATATGATCTGTAATGAAAGATCAATATGATCCTGTCCTTACATTTATGCTTTAACGTTCTTTTCAGTCTATGGTAATACTTGAAGGAGTCTCAATATATTTTCTAGGATTGCAGGATATGTTCTTGTATCACAAGTGTACTTTAAGTACTTTTTTAAGTACTTTCAACCATAATTGAAGATTAGTCTCATTACCCTAAATAACAGGACAAGATCGGTGTATGCAATTAAAGGCACATGCACAATGTAATTAAATTAATTAATATTGGCTTATAGTTGAGATTCCCACCAAAGAAAAGCAAGTTAAATACCAATATACAAATGCTATTAAAATATGCAACTTCTACTCCATGCTTAAAAAGTAAAAAGAACTCATGCACAGAAAACTGACAAATACACAATATGGTCAATTGAATAGTTTCTTTATAAACATTTTCTCACATCGAATGCCCACGTTTAAGTAATTTGGAAATATGTGTAAAGAAAAATACTAACCACAAGAAGAAATCTCGCCTGTTTTCGTCCAAGGTTTAACAAATTGAAAAATAAAAATAAACAACACTAAAAACTATTGATATTGAGAACAACACACTTATTAATGAAATGATAACATTTCAAACGTAAAAAGTTGTGTTTGTCTCATGTCGCTACTGATAAAAATTGGATAATTAGTAAAAGGTCAAGATGATGAAACCTGTTTGAGACCTTCCGGTGCGAGAAAGAATAGCTTTTACAATAATTGATTTGCAAAATAAAAACCTTGGATGGATTATTGTTTTTTATTTGCTAGAAAATATTTTTGAAACAAATAAGATATCATAATATAATACAATAACGTAATATAATAACATAATATAATCATAAGATGTGTAATTGTGATTTACATTATACCGTTTTTATGTACACATTTTTAACACAATACAAATTGATATAAATTTTTAAAAAAATATTAGTTATTAGTTTCCAATCTGTGTACTGTGTGGTAGTTAGATAACTTGCAAATCTCTTCTTATAACAGGATTATTCGATGAAATGCTAGTGACTGTTGAAGGCATAGTGCCATAGTAGATTAAATTAAATTATGTAGAAGCCGACCTCTTTAAGACCCATGCACTGCGACCGGAATTAGTATTGGTCTATTGTGCATCTCCATTTTTTTTCTTTTTTTAAATCGTTAAGCTTAAGGCTTTTCACTAGACCCCCCAAAGTTTTTTCAATACCTCCTGTGTACATCCTTCAGGCCCTGGCTTTTCCTCTCCCTAGATTAGAAATCTCAGCCTACATAAGCCTTCGCACCAACAGAGGATGTGTTTCGGTGTTTCTTCTTCTTCTTGGCAATATCTGCACAGGCTTTTTCTGCCATGAGTCTATACATATAGCTCCGGAGTCTGTAGTGCCGGGTTAGCTGTCAAACTATTATTCTAGTCCTAACACGTCCTAGATTTAGTAGCTCTGCCGTTTGTTATATGGTCCTTTGATAAACTTTTTCGCATGTCTCAGTCCCAGGCTACTGCGAATGAAGTACTTATTATTAATCCATTGTTCCGCGTTTTTGGAAGTTTGGTAAGTCATAAAGGAGTTCAGGGCCAATAGGTGTCCTGTCTGAACTTTCTTTGGCCAATAATCGGCCTGTTTGTTGCCACTCTACCTAGTGTGCTCTTGTACCCAGACAAGGGTAATTTTGCTATTTTCCCCAATGTGAATAGTATATATTACGCAAGGCGGGCGACCAAGGCCCGAGGGGTTAAATGCCTGGGTAGACTCGTACCCCATCCTTTTTTTTTGGTGTCACGAACGGTCAATGTGAATAGTAATGGTATGTAAAATCGTGTCACCGCATGACGTCGTTGAGGTGCCACGCACGAGGCGCCAATTGGCTTCGTCGAACCCACAATCTTCGGCTTGATACGCCATTTGAAAAATGGCAAAAAGGAGGGAAAATTCAAAAGGTAAGGTTGAGATAGGAAGTTGGTGTCCGAGTGGATCGACATCGAGGTCACGATAGTTCAGACTTCATGTGGTAGAGCATCGGCGTATCAAGCGGTTCGAATCCCGCTCGTGCCATTGACTTTTTTATCTCAACTAAAAACCTTAATTAATTGTAGTATATTAATTGGTCAAGCGGACCACGAAATTAGTTAATTCACAATACTGTCAAATAGCATCAAAGCTGGAAGAAAAATAGGGGCAGGCAGGAGGACCTATTGGTTCGTATTTGGCTGATTTGTGAATGCGTCGTAGGTGGTTTTTTTCTTTTTATACTGATATTTATATGACAGCATTTTACGCGATACTATTGCAATTTTATCATAATAGTGATTTTTTTGCATGCCATAAGGGAAAGTAATGAAACATTCCGGTTTCATCAATGTTAAGTGATTCATTTTTTTTCCTGAAGAATATCTACTGTTGTACTTTGGGAGGCACCAATTCTCATTCTTACACATTTTTGGCGAATAATATCCAATTTTTGTAAAGCTGTTTTACATGCCTGTCAATAGTACTATGCTCCAAAGCCAAAATTTGCTGTAAAGTGATAAAACATAAGTTGCATGCAAGGAAAAACATTTTAGAATGTTATCTAACTAAATGTTTTCCTTTGTTGGAATTTATTTTTATTGAATTGTAGTGTGGTTGGTTGTAACTTTGTTGTAATCCACAATTTGTTTTTTAGACTGATTTTTGTAGCTAATTTAGCATTCTGTAGTAGTTTAAATAGGACTAAACATGAGAACTTGGAGTTCATTATAGCATACGAATGCAGTTCACAAATGGGTGAACTCGTTTAATGTTAAAAAGAAAATTGCTTTCTAAGTTGTCTGTAAAATATCTGTAGTATATATAAGATAGAGATTTACGTTGAGACTGGATGTAAGAAATTTTTGGTTGTAAGAGGTTTTTTTTTTTAAATTTTAATTCAGAAGAGTTGCATATGAGAAAGTTTGATTGTCTAATTAATCTAGTTGGGGTATACAATGAAATTAAGTTGATGAAAATTTTATGAAAAGCTGTAAAAAAGGACATCAGTATTTAGGGAATTGAGAATATTATATATATATGTATTGCCATAGTCACAGTTGCTGTGGTCATAACTGTAATTGGTCAAGGAGAGAAGTTGATCAGAAGCATTGAATGGGCAAAAGAGGAGGATTATTTTCGGCATATAAACTATAACACTCATTTAGTGACATTTTTGCATGACCAATCTTCATTAGAGACAAAATCAGGTTGAAAATCATTCCTTGATGATTGTAGATCTTGTATAAGTGATGAAATTCAAGAAATGAAATTGATTTACATGTTTTTAGTTGGTCCTAGTTAACCAAAGCGATTATTTAAATTGATTTACAATTATTATGTAATTTTGGGTGAGATGAAAAATTAGTGTTCATGATACTAATTTTTCATTTCAACCAAACTTTACATAAAAATTATAAATCAGTTTGGATAAGATTGAGTTGAAAATAATATTGTACATAGTTGAAGCATAACTGTGAGAGCATTGTGGTGTTTTGAAGAGTGATATGGTCGAATCATGTCTTAAACAGGTTGGGATTATAAGCAAAGAGTAGAAACCTAATATCCAAGAAATCTGTTGAAATGCCATTCATCTGAAAAGGTATAGAAATTAAAAGATTGGCAACCCTTTTCCCTAACAATTTGATGTGCCTATCATTTAAATCATTTAAATAAGATAAAAAACATTTTAGTAAATTAGTACCAAAACCATGTCATGCCAATTTAAGTAGGATAATATTGATGTTGATCTTGTCAGGCTTTTGAGAAACATGTGAGTGTACCATCAACAGAGTAATGGTGGACAATTTTGATTGATTGTTTCTTTTGATCTATTGATAGTTGATAGATATAATCAAATATCTCACCCTTGTGAATACTAATTTGGCCTCACTCAAAACCATATTGATTTTATAACAGAAATGCATGAGGCCGGTTACTGCTTAAATCATTCCAGTCATTAAAATCATTTTTATTCCGTACTTCACCACGAATAAGTGATAGCAAACTTTTTTTTTTATTGCTACCATTTGTTGCCTGGCAATTTCTTAAGAGATATATTCAAGATGTCTGTAAAAGATTGTAGCTTGATTATCTACATAATCTCCAACAGTGAATTGAGTTGACCTGTTACGGGGCTAAAGTTGAACTAAAGGGACCTTGGTTAATTTTACCTATTGGCAAGTATATTGTTTCTATTAATATTTCGAAATTAGATTTAACCATTCATGTTTACGAGTATTAATAATTATAGTTAGTATATTTTGGAATTTTTCATTTTTACAATTGGCAATTGCTCAAGTTAAAGGATTACTGTTTTTTATTGTTATTTGTCACCCATTACCTCAACAAGTTTTTCATTTTTGTATTTTGTACCAATGATTGAAATATTTAGAATGTTCATTTTGTAAAAAAATGTGCTACTGTATATTAGTTTTCTCAATGACATTGGATGTACATTTCCTTCAGGAATTTTGGACGTACATGTTCTTCAGAATTTTCAACATATAAATAGATTAGATAGTTTGGTCTGCATAATTATTTTTTAACCTATTTTGTTAAAGAGGTTATGTGCTAGCTAGTTTTATGTTCATATCAAATAAAATTGTTTCAAGAGGGACTTAATAAATACATTTTTAAATTTTGTATCTTCTTGTGATAATGAATTAGATACACATTTACATACTGAGTAAATCCAAGCTTTAAAGTAAACTCTGCTTAGGGATCTAAAGAATGGGGAGATTATGAGATTCAGTACTACATAACACCTAAGTAAAAATAAATTTTACTTTATTATTATTTAACAATTAATTATGGGCAAGAATTTAATTAAGAAACAATAATAACAAAAGTAAATCACAATGTTAGAAAATAAGCTCCCTTATTGAACAAAATAAATGTGTTAAGGCCAAACAATATTTTCAATCCATTCAATGTAATTGGATACTCTTGTGTACACTCCTGGTCTCCTTTTTGCACAGTCATCTCCAAAAGAAGTAATGCCAATTATACTGTACATACAATGGGGTTCGGTTAGCTTTATCTGGAGTGGTCCACCTGAATCACCCTGAAATAAAGTAATTGAATTAAGTATAAAAATAACATTGATTAGTGCCACTATAATGCTGTCTACTAGAACTGGACACAGCAACATCTAGAACCTCCAAAATATCTATTGTGGGGGGCATTCGGTGGCCGCATGGTTTAAGCATTGACACAGCACTCTTCATTGTAAAGGTAAAAGTCCTGGGTTCGAATCCAGCAACCATGCATTCAAATCTAACAGACTTACAAATGCACATTTTTTTTTTCAAAAACACAACACCCTGAGGGTTGATATGACCTCTGCTGTTGCGAACCCTTGTTTAAAAAAATACTTATTATATATATTTTTTATTCGAACTGTAAAATAAATAATGTACTGTGTTAGGCCTTTCTCTGAAAGTGTAAATCTTAGATGATAAACATTACACAACTTATATAATGTATAAAATGTACATAACTTATTAGCAGTTTAAGCCTACGGTCGTTTTGTTCGTTTATTTTTATTTTTTATGGAATTTAAAAATTGTATTCAGCCTCAGAGGCGTCTTCAAGAAACAATTAAGGCAAAAAAAAGGAAACTTGTGTTACTGAAATACTCAAAATCTAATAAAACTGAAATTTATCATTGTTCCTTTTTCTTTTAAACATTTTCCTTAGCCCTTCTCGTGTAGAAATGAGTGGTGTTTAGTGACCATTAGCCAATAATTATTCGGAGATCGTGAGATGTCTGGTAGGTTTTAGAATAACATTTTCTTTATCGTGCCAACGTTTCGATCTTTATTGAGATCATCTTCAGGGCCTGGGATTTGTAAACATTGTTTAAATTTTACAAATAGATGTAGGATGTGGAAAAAAACACGACCCACAAGAATGACACATCTACACAGAAAACAAACACTTTGAGTGAGTTTTCTAGTGTTGTATAAATTCAATTTTTTGTCTTCTTCTTTTTTTTCCCACATCATACATGTTTTTCTAAAACATACATCACACCAGACCATATCTCATGATCTCCAAATAACCATTTTCTTTAGCAATTTAGATTTATGTTTTTATGTTTTAGGAGGAAGAAAATTGTTGTAGTGACAGCCAATGACTTAATACTTCTGAGAAGAAGCATTGAGTGTAATGCACAGAACTAAGAATGTACAAAAGCCAGAAGGCTGCAATGCTTGGGGCGTGCATCTCTATCATCATCATGTATGTATGTATTAGTAAAGATACATATTTTAGTATAAGTGAGTGTGAATACATTCATGCTGAAATGTGAATCTATTGAATTGGAGTAGGTGTGCCTCACAACTTGCTGTGAGAAGTCTAATTCTAATAGCACATAAGTCTATAAAATATTCTATAAAATTTACATATTATATACATATATATAAAAAATTTACACACACACACACACACACACACACACACAGTATAATATAATTACTTTATCCCATTCCATTACATTTATTTTAAAAATCCCTGAAAAAAAGGGGCACCTGGCATGTATCTTTGTTTTCGGTCCACGCACAAAGCATTGAGGTTTCATTGATGCCCTTGGGAAATCGAGCCAACAAGTTGTTACTGGCCGTTTCATATTTGTTCTTACAAAAATCCTCTTTTCTAATGAGGTCCAACTCCACTTTCTGAAGTGCTTGAGAAACAGAAGAATCTAAAAATGCATATAAATTATTTTATTTTATTTTATTATGGTATTAGACATACCATTAGAAGCTATTGTCCTTCCCCATCCTGTCGCAATAGCTTTATCTGTTCCGATTTCATGAGATGTATGTAAGCACAATGGGCGGATAAATGTTGAAAATTGAACCGGTTTTTCAAGTTTGTAGAGAGCTATGTCATTGTACACTGTACGCCTTTCATATTTGGGATGGTTTATTCTAGTTTTAATTCTAATAATCTGAGGACTGGAATAATTGATATCTTCGTCAGAGTTGACTTTCAAATCCCCTAGAAGTACCCATTTTGCAAGTGTCCCTCTGTAACAAAAACGTAAAAACAAAACACGTTGACAGCAAAACATTCACATGTGTGAGATGACTATTTGCATTTCAAAGGCTCCTTACTTTCTGCCTTTTATTATAGCTGCTAGAGACTTGGATTTTTCTACCAGCCCTAGTTAGTGTATGCAAGGGGACATGTTTGTATGTAAAAATATTATTTTTGATGTATTAATTTCATTGTTGGTTAACATAAGAACAAAAATGTTCGATGACGCAGAATATTATAACTAAAAGATAAATCAACAAAATACTGCTTTTTGCATATTTTAACAAACATTCCGTAAGCAAAGCAGGTCGGAAAATTTTGATTTGACCTCACTGCCGTGATTCTAGCGTTATAAAACCCTTAGAGACCGACCTTTTCATAAGTGTTGGTGTAAATTAATTTTTTAACTGACAATTTTGATGACCGTTTTGTCCTGACTGACATTCCTAGCGCAAGCGCTAACATTTTTCCCAAAGCTAGTAGACCAATTTTCATGCTTGATAATTCATTTTAAAGAAAGGCTTGTGCATTTCATAACTGTATCAAACATTAAAATTGGACTATTATTTCCAATTTAAAAAAACAACGAGGTTAATCACTGAGAATTAATTTCTCTCTATTTTGTGCATTTAGAAATATTTCATATATTTTAATGGTACTTATATTGTGAAAAAGCTACATTGCTCTTCTTTCAAATGGTGTGTTTCATGTTAAAATCTTTTTAGTCGTTTTTGAATTATCATTATTATTTATCATCATTTATCATTTATTAGTAATCAGATATTCTGATAATGACTTTTCAAAAATAAGAAAAATTTTAGGGTAAAAAGTTGATAAATTTAAATTCAAACAAAAATTTATTTTTAGGGGTCTCTAAAGGTACTAAAACAAAATTTCATATTAGTTTCACAAAAAAAAAAAAAAAAAAAAAATATGACCTAGTTTACTTGAAAAATATTTGGTTTGTAGAATTTGTTTGGTCGTTGATAAACTTTGATAGCTTTTAATTTATTTTTATTGCAATGTACATAAAAAATACTGTAAAATGACACATTCACATAGTCAATCTGAGCAAGTAGAATGGCAAAATAAAAATATTAAAATGGAAAATTTCAACTTAAAAAAAATTTGTGAAACCAGGGCCTATTCACAAGAAGTGTTGGATAAATGTCTAATATTTTGTAGCTGTCCTCTTGATATTGTTTTGAGATCCACCCTCTTCTTATCCACCAATGTTTCTGGTTATAACAATTGTTAGCCTTGTGCATATTATATTTTATTACCATTATTTAACTTTTTTCCAAAGTTAGTGTTTTTGTTTTTAAATTTTCATTTTTTTATTGATTATTTGGATCTCATGAGATGCGGTCACGATCCCCAAATAATCATTAATTAACCAAATAATAACAATTAACTAAGTACTACACATTTATTTTTTACCATTGCCTTTTAACATTTTTGATTTTATAACAATTTAAGGGATATCCCATTTTTAAAAATTATGTATTAATTTGTTATAATTACTAAATTGTGACTGCAAATGCTGTCAACACCTCAAATCTGCTTTGGGACTGCAAATGCTGTCAACACCTCAAATCTGCTTTGGGAGGGGGTGAACCAATATAGTACTTGGAGAGGGCCTCATATTCAATGGAAACTTAAGGTGGCAGGCAAAGGTCAAGGTTTGCAAGAAAATCCACAGAAACCATCAGAACCCTTTGTCCTACCAGCCGTACTTGTCTGATACGATCTTGAGGTAGTGTACTAGCCATGTACACCAACATACGTCCACTGACCTGCATTCCAAGAACTTGGATTGGGGTTTGACACTTTTTGCCAGATCTTTATGAACAAGTCTAGAACTGACATGGGTGTAGCCTGCAATGTGTACAGCTTGGAGACTTGTCCACTTTGAGGCCTTTCCCACATCACTACAATGTGTGCACATCAGAAATGTACGGGATCTGGCTCAGGATGATTTTATATGAAGGAAGCTGTGCCCATCTGTTCTGACTCTTTGAGTTTTGACTATTATTTACTAATGAAATGAAAGCTGGAATGTTTTGCCCTCCAGACCGAACCACTGGTCAGTGAACTGAACAAGTAGTAACTAGCAGTAAACTAAATAAATATTGGTAGTGCCATTGGGCTGAGTATTTCAAGAAGTTCTTGCATGGCAAAAGCACAACTGATTGACAGCCAACCAGTATGAGTTTGTGCACACCTGTTTGAGGATAGGACATACCTGATTGATACCCAGATATCTGTTTTTGTAGCAAACCCCCATATCCCTAATTCTTTGGCCCCTTTTGAGTTTCAAAAAACAACCACTGCACATTCAAGCTGAGGGAGCATGTTGGTCAGTGTGTTAATAAATAAATATCATATTACACTCACGTCAGTGAGGCTGTACAGTGCGCTGCACTCAGGACCCAACTGTCACTGATTAACGAACCACCACAAATCCATAGCACCGGGTGATCTCTATGACCAATTAATGCCTGAAAAATTAGAACTTAAGTAAAAAAAAAAAAAGAGTAAAACATAACCTATTAATTATGCAACAACACTTATGCACATATTGAACATTTGTGCATGAGAACAATCACATCACCATATGTGGAAATTCTTCTGGATTAGCATCAGAGCCACCAATGACCAAAATAGAGCTAGTTGTTCCACATGTGCTCGTCCGTTCTGTAATTGTTTCTATCCCAGTATTTATAACAATAGTCTTATATACAGATTCTGCATATTCTCTGCACACTAGAAATACATTTTAGTGATTTTTTAATTTATTTAATTTTTTAATTAAAGAAGTTACTTGTTTCTGCCTTTTCTCCTGGAATTGACTTATTAGAATTTTGTGTTGAAGTTCCATCTAAATTTAGAAGAAATAATAATGAACAAAAAAATAAATAGTTACTACCTTGAAACACTATTAGCATTTTGATTAAAAATCTCATTAGCTGTCAAATGGCCTAATTACAAAATAGCAATTACTTATTTAATAATTAATCAAATAAATACTTGATTTTGCAGAGTAATGTTAATGGAATACATGAGATGTATGTGTAACATGCCTACATTTATGCTTTTTACAGAATAGTCTACTATTTATGTATTTTATCAAGGCTGGAACAACTAAAAATATATTCAAATATATAAATGATTATGAATTTAATAAAAATTGTAAATATAACAAAATGTGCTAACAAATTAAAATTATACTATAAATAATAAATGATGTTATAAATAATCTAAAGTTTAATCACCCGGGTTTATTTACAAATGGATTTATTTATCATTTTGTATGTTTATTTAATTAACAATTTAACTATTTGATTGTCATAAGGGGTTCTTGTAAACTCAAAAAATACCTGAGTTTGCAGCCCAGCACCAGAAGAATAAAAAATAAACACTCAAGAAGTTCATTCTTCACAAGGATGCGGGAAAATAAAAATGTACTTTATATCAGAACTAAATATATATGAGCATGATCAATGATGTTCCTAAGGTCATTTCAACAGGTTTTGTTTTTCTATTTGTATCCTCGGTGGGGATAATTTGCTTTAGTATTTAAAAACCTGTTTTTACACTGAATCTTGACTTGTCCATTTTATTCAATATTAGTATTATTTTTAAAAGTTATTTTGTTTTTATGTTAGTAGCATATATAATTTTTTTTATTATTAATTATCTGATTTTTTTAACATCTAAACTTTAGCACATTTTTTAATTAAGAAATTAGTAAGGTTGATAAAGAATCTTTCATTTTATGCCTGTTCTTTCTCTCAGTCAGGTCTTATCAGTTCAGATAAAAGATAGAAATTCCAGATAAAAGGTCAAAACATGGACTAAAAAATTGCCAGAGAAAATATTTTTATTTAGTTTTGACCGAAAGTTCAATACCAGTTTTGTAATCCCAGATTTACAATTAGTTTCAAAAATTTCCTTCAAAATTGTGTAAACAAATATCATGATATGACAGCAATGATAATTAATTATGATATTTTTCTTATTTTAACTTTTTAATTTATTTCAATAAATTATTATTTTTATCTAAGGTCTTGGTTGAGATGAAAAAGTTAGTCATGAGCAGAATTCGTTACGCCGATGCTCTAACCACTTGAGCTATCATGACAGTGGTTACACCAGCAGCATATTGAGCCTAAGGTCGTGGGTTCGAATCCTGCCTTATTAAATACATTTTTTATTGTGCATCTTCTTGTGATAATGAATTAGATGCAATGCATATGTTACTGAGTAAATCCAAGCTTTAAAGTAAATTTTGCTTAGGGATCTAAAGAATGGGGAACGATAAAATCCTGTACTACATTACACCTAAGTAAAAATAAGTTTGTCTTTATTATTATTATTTAACAATTAATTATGGGTAAGAATTTAATTATGAAACAATTTAAAACTAAAAATAAAGTACAATATTAGAAAATAATTAAATTCACTAATTTCTTGGCCCGCTTGACCAATTAATACATTACAATTAATTAAGGTTTTTAGTTGAGATAAAAAAAGTCAATGGCACGAGCAGGATTCGAACCCACGATCTTTGGCTTGATACGCCGCTGCTCTACCACTTGAGCTATCGGGTTGAGATGGGAAGTTGGTGTCCAAGAGGATTGAAGTCACGATAGCTCAAGTGGTAGAGCAGCAGCGTATCAAGCCAAAGATCGTGGGTTCGAATCCTGCTCGTGCCATTGACTTTTTTATCTCAACTAAAAACCTTAATTAATTGTAATGTATTAATTGGTCAAGCGGACCACAAAAGTAGTGAATTAATGATTTAAAAATGAAGTACACTTCACTAAAGCTCTCCGTCGCCATTTCAATTGTCGTCGAGAATCCAAACCGATTACACGACATTTGAAAAATGGCAAAAAGGAGGGAAAATTCAAAAGGTGTGGTTGAGTTGGGAAGTTGGTGTCCGAGAGGATCGAGGTCACGATAGCTCAAGTGGTAGAGCAGCGGCGTATCAAGCCGAAAATCGTGGGTTCAAATCCCGCTCGTGCCATTGACTTTTTTATCTCAACTAAAAACCTTAATTAATTGTATTAGAAAATAAGCTGCCTTATTTAAAAAAATAAATGCATTATGGCCAAACAATATTTTCAATCCATTCAATGTAATTAGATACTCTTGTGTACACTCCTGGTTTCCTTTTTCCACAGTCATCTCCAAATGATGTAATGCCAATGACACTGTTCATGCAATGGAGTTCCGTGAGCACTATCTGGAGTGGTCTACCTGAATCACCCTATATAAAATAAAAAATTAAACATGTGTTAAAACTTTAGTACATACTAGTACCAGACTAGAACTAGATACTGTAGCTTTTGGAACCTCCAAAATATATATTATCGGGCCTTTGGTGGCCACAACGGTTAAGGTGTTGACACGATTTATCTTTTTTTTTTTTAAATATTTTTTTTTACATTTCATTAGCAATTTACATTTATGTTTTTACTTGTTGAAACAAAAGAACACAGTACAAATAGTTGAAAACAAAAGAGGAAAATTAAAAGCGAAATTTTTTATGGCCGAAAAAAATCAAAAATCAAGTGGATGGAACGAAATAAAAATTTTGATTTTTAACTTGTAAAAGAAAAATATAAGTACAAGAAAATGATTAATTAATAACAGGTGGATAGATGAAAAAAAAAATAATGAGAGTTAACCATTTAATTTAAGGTATGATAATTTCTGATCTTTGTTTGACTATCTTTTCGTTTACATCTACTATATCAGCAAATCTCAACAAAAAATCTCACAAATAAATTTAGTTGGCTTCTTCTAAAATGCATTTTATCACTGTGCAAATATTGGAGATTACTAAAATTTATGTTTATGCTAAGTTCTTTTAACAAAACTGTTCATAGTGAAAAAAAGGAGTAAACGGGAAAATATCGATGAGATTGAATGATCTGGCTATTCTCAGATTATTTGACACTTTGTAAAGTGGTACCAACTTGCAAATCCCGCAAAAAAATCTGATGTACAAAACTACAGACCAATCACCATCCCGACATAATCATACCTGAACAACAAGATATCTCAAAAGAAGATCAACCATCCCTAAGTGAACCAGAACTATGTTCTATTGAGGAGGGATGGATCTTGAGGAAGAACGTTGCATATGATTTAAAAAAAAAGTAAAAGACGCTCTAGGCAACATGCTAAACAAAGGAGTTATTGTCCTTGTAAATCACTCCACAGATTGGGCGCCCCAACAGTCGTAACCATAAGAAGAGTGGAGGAGTATGACACATGAGACATGTGTCAACCTTCCCCCACAGGTGCCAAAGGTACCATATTCTACCATAGTGAACAGCCTAATTAGTGAAAATGGTTTTACATGTAAAGCCAGAATTCAAGATAGAATGGTATATGCCCACTCAGTTGATGCTTATCGAACAATTATTCAATAATTAAAAACAAAAAGCTGAATATCATACCTGTCAGCTTCAAGAAGATAAGGCTTTTAGGGTTTTTATTCATCACTTTCATTATTCTACACCCGCAGCATAAAGAAGAACTGGAGAACCTCGGGTATAATGTTAGGCTCGTCACCAATGAGAAAACCTCACTTAAAAACTAATCTTCTCCTGTTCTTTTCTTTATATTCTTACCTGGAACCAAGCCCTATTAATGAACAAATCTTTACATTCAGCAGTCTCCTTTGTACAAAAATTAAGGTGAAAGAACCTTACAAAAAGAGACAAATAACCCAATGTACAAGGTGTTAAGATTATTACATACCAAATTGTACTGCAACTATTTTCCATGATGCGTGAAGTGCACCAGCAGGTCTCACTTGACAGAAGATTGTATCAGATCACAAGAGGAACCCGCTATATGTATGCATTGTAAATAGAACCACTCTGCAAATTACCATGGGTGTACCACTTACACCATTATAACACCTCCAAACTCACCATATTGTCCAACATCTGCTCATAAACTTTTTGATATATTAGATGATTTTATAACAATCAGAATCTCTTCAACCCATCTGGATATTTCAAATTCTTTTGATTTTTCCTCTGATAATAGCTCGGTTCAATTAATCCTTAATTCTGACCCTTCCATTGTACCAAAACTTAATAACTGAACCAACAGATCGGAAAAATTTTCAAACCATGTTAGCCTAAACATTCTCTAAAAACTGCAAAAGAAATAGCTGTAGATGATTTCACAGAATTAATACAGCATGTAGCATAGGTGTGATCCTCCTTACCACCATCTCAAAATAATCAACAATTACTATTATCTCCACGCATTCGGCTTCTATTAACTGAAAACTAAAAGGCCAGGGCCAGGGGTGATATCCAAGAGATCACTGACAGATGAACCAACTCACGAGAAAACTTAAACAAGAACTCACCAAACTTAGGGCTGAAATGTACAAACAATGTACTACTCCACTTTCCACAATAGACAAGTCCTTGTGATACTGCACCTGCAAGATCCTGCAATATAAGGGCCACACTCCCCCCATCCTGATAATGCTTGGGCTAAATCCAATTCAGACATAGCTAAATTGTTTTCACAGCATCTTTCAACAATAGTTAGTGTTGAATAATGTGTAGAAATTGTTACTTGAATTTTATTCCTTTTAGAATGTTTTGCCTGATGTAGGACTAAAATAAGTCCAAAACACCTCCAATAATAAGAAAGGTCATGAACTGCTGAGTTGTTAATTCTTTGGCTGCCACCCTGACAAATTTTCCAATCATGTCCTTCAATCCTTCAACAATATTCACTCCACATTATGATATACTTGACCATAACCACTGGCATAGCATTGAACAAGACTTGAATATCCCCTTGCAACTCTCTTCTCCTTCTAAAGAGCATTTACCCCATTAGACATATGACACGACTACCTCCTCAAAAAGCAACAGAGTATGATCTAATTACAACACAAAAATTACAAAATTTGCCCCACAGAGAAGAGGTTATAGAAGTTCTTATATTTTTCTTTGAAAATATACAGAAAACAAAAAATTATAACGATTGCAAGTATTTGCTTAAATAAGAGAGAGGGTGGCCACTTTTTTTTGCCTCTCAATGTACATAACATGGGTATATTCAATGATGATCCCATTTGCAGATTATGCAATGAGGAGGAAGAAACAGCCACCCATATTACCTTTGAATGCGAATCAACAGCTCACTGGAGACAGGAATGAAATTGCAGCAGCAACAGTTAATCACTAATGCTTCTGACAAGAAGGATTCAGTTTATTGCATTCAACTAGGGAACTGGGAAGGTACAAAACCAGAAGACTACAATGCTTGAGGAGCGCAAACCCCCACTTCCTGGCATCCATCTCTATCATTATGATCATTATCTTGCTCATATGTATGTATTAGTAAAGATTGTACAATTTAGTATAAGTGAGTGTGAATGTGAATACATGTTCATATTGAATTGTGTTTCTACTGTCTATTGAATTGTAGTAGGTGTATCTCACAACTTGCTCTGAGAAGTTTAATTCTAATAACACATAAGTTTATAAATATTCCAACTTTACATATAATATTTTTTGCATAATACAATTACTTTATCCCATTCCATTATATTTATTTTAAAAATCACTGAAGAAAATTAGCACCTGACATGTATCCTTGTTTTCAGTCCATGCACAAAGCATTGAGGTTTCATTGATGCCTTTAGGAATCAAGCCAACAAGTTGTAACTAGCCGATTCATATTTGCTCTTACAAAAATCCTCTTTTTTAATGAGGTCCACTCCATTTTTTGTTTCTTTTTCTTTTTGATTAATTTATTATTATTAAATTGTTACTGCAATTGCTGAGGAAGCCAGTTTTACCTTCTCCTTTCCCCATTACCCACACCTCAAGTCTGTTTTTTTTTTTTTTGGGGGGGGGGGGTGAACTGGTACAGTACATAGAGAGGGTGCAATTCCTTGGCTTCATATTCATATGCAGACAACGTGATGAAAGCTGAAACGTCTTGCTCTCCAGGCTGAACCATTGCTCAGTGACCCTGAACGAATAGTAACTGGTAGTAAACTAAATAAATATTGGTAGTGTCAGTGTATTTCAAGAACCCCTAACCAACCTGACTGATCAATGGCCCTCCAGTATAAGTAGTATGAAACACAAGGAAGTTTGCGCAAACCTGTTTGAAGATAAGGCATACTTGATTGACACCCGGATATCAGTTTTTGTGCAAAACCCGCTTATCTCTCATTGCTATGCCTTGGCCCCTTACAGGTGTGAGTAAAACCCTCGTACTCTGATTACTTCTTGTAGCAAACATCTCACATACATGAATGGTCAATTTCATGGTATAAGTTGAAACCATGGGAAGTTTAAAAGGTAAATTAGTCAAATGTCCATAATGTATGTCAATGTGTTACACTTACACCAGTGAGGCTGTACAGTGCGCTGCACTCAGGACCCAACTAGCACTGATTAATGAACCACCACAAATCCATAGCACCAGGTGATCTCTATGACCAATTAATGCCTGAAAAATCAGAAGAACTTAAGTAAAAAAAGAGAAAAACACAACCTATTAATCATGCAACAACACTTATGCACATATTGAACATTTGTGCATGAGAACAATCACATCACCATATGTGGAAATTCTTCTGGTTGAGCCTTGGAGCCACCAATGATGAAAACAGGGCTAATCATTCGACATGTGTGTAGTGTAGGAGAGACAATTAGTTTTAGTTTAATTTAAAATTGTAGAAAAAGTGTATAAACTGGAAGGGAAGAAATGTGAGACAGACGGATCCCATTTCGCGCGATGTACGTTGAGTCAGTCTTGTTCTAACGCTGGAAAGAAGATGATCGCGGCCGTCTTGCTGATACTGGGTGAATGTCTTGTGTTTTGTCCCTCTCAGGCTGAGTAGTCTATGCAATCCTATATTCGTAGAATAGTTTTGGGGAACTGTAGCACCTGTAGATAGGAACCATGACCTTACTGTAAGTTTATGGGTAATCTTGGAACCTGCACTTGATAGGAAGCTCCTTATATCCTTATTGTATAATCGACAAGGTACAAATTCATTTATGTAATTTCTTTAAAGATAATAAAATGTTAGCATAATAAGTAGTAGTTAATTGTTTTCCAAGGGCCAACCTAACAATGTGCTCGTCCGTTTAGTAAATGTTTCCATTCCAATATTTATAACAGTAGTCTTATATATAGATTCTGTATATTCTCTGCACACTAGAAATACATTTTAGTGACTTTTTAATTTATTTAATTTTTTAATTAAAGAAGTTACTTTTTTCTGCTTTTCTCCTGGAATTGTCTTATTAGAATTTTGTGTTGAAGTCCATCTAGATTTAGAAGAAATAATAATGAAAAAAAGTATAAAATAAATAGTTACTACCTTGAAACACTATGAACATTTTGATTGAAAAGCTCATTAGCTGTCAAATGGCTTAATTATAAAATAAATTTATAAAAAATTAAATTGCAAGCAAACAAACATTGATTGAAGTTATTCAGTTCAATTTCCTGGTTAGTGTATAAAAATTTTTGTTGTAACTATTTAAGTATTTTTTCAAGGTGGAACAACTAAAAAGATATTCAAATATATAAATGACTATCTTTATAACCCAACGTTGCCCAGGGGGATAATAAAAAAGTGTTATTTAACACTATTTTATGTACACATATTGCTATTGCTAAACCAACAAATCCCCATCCTGGAGCATGCAACATAATTGTCCATGAGAAAACCATGGACTCTCCAGATTCAATCCACATACAAGCAATGATTGACGTTGTGATTTCTTTATCATTACTGCAAAACCCAATTTAATTGGAAATTGCAATCATTTGAATTGGAAAGGCACTTCTGTTGGTATGGTCTGACTTTAGTAAGAATTGTAAATATAATTTAACATGCTAACAAATTGAAATTATATTATAAACATTTATATGTTATAAAGAATTTAAAGTTTAATCACCCGGGTTTATTTACAAATGGATTTATTTATCATTTTGTATGTTTATTTAAATAAAAATTTAACTATTTGATTGTCATATAGGGTTCTTGTAAATTCAAAAAATACCTAAGCTTACAGCCCTGCACCAGAAGAATAAAAAATAAACACTCAAGAAGTTCATTCTTCACAAGGATGCGGGAAAATAAAAATGTACTTTGTATCAGAACTTAAATATATATGAGCATGATCAATGATGTTCCTAAGGTCATTTCAACAGGTTTTGTTTTTCTATTTGTATTTTCAGTGGGGAGAATTTGTTTTTATATTTAAAAACCTGTTTTTACTCTCAATATTGACGTCCATTTTTTCAATATTAGTATTATTTTTAAAAGTTGTTTTGTTTTTATGTTAGCAATTATAATTTTTCTATTATTAATTATCTGATTTTTTAACATCTAAATATTTAGCATATTATTTAGTTAAGAGATTTGTTAAAACCAACTTAAGGTTGATAAAGAATCTTTCATTTTATGCCTGTTCTTTCTCTCAGTCAGGTCTTATCAGTTCAGATAGAAATTCCAGATAAAAGGTCAAAACATGGACTAAAATGGGGAAGATAAAAAATTGCCAGAGAAAATATTTTTGTTTAGTTTTGACCAAAAGTTCAATACCAGTTTTGCAATCACAGATTTGTAATTAGTTCCTTCAAAATTGTGTCCATAAAGAAATATCATGATAGAAATGATAATTAATTATGATACTTTAACAAATTAAAAATAAATATGATTATTTTGATAATTTGCTACAAGGGAGTGGAAAATTACTCAAAATTAAAATGAACTGCTAGAATGTTTGGAAGATTTACCCATCTAAGTGGTTCAGGATTCAAATCCTGGCACATACCATGTAATTTTAATTTGGTAATTGTATTTGAAATGTATTTTGGAAGGTGGTATGAAAGGGTCAGTGGACTGACCCCTTGTCTGCTGCACCAAATAGGAGGTTGAACTCCTGTATGACCTGAATTACCATTTCTGACTAATTAACTTAGGTGAGATGCATAACTGCATCTGGACTACACTAATCAGAAATATTACACAGGGAGTTTGCATCTGTGTATTTACCCAAAGTGTAATATTAAAATGTGTACTTAAAGATAAAACATGTATATTAGATATGCTAAATGGTTCTAATTGGTAGTTAGTAGATGATTATAGCAAACAGTCACTGAATATTAGAGCAAATATATTAAATAAGTAAATAGTATGTTTATTAAATAAATTAACTGATTAAATATAAATAAAGTCATATTGTAAAGTTTTAGAAGGATTAGTTAAGTTTCCGTTTTTTTTTTTTTTTTTTTTTTTAAGTAAATATAGAATTAATTAGATTACCCATGTAAATAATAAATCTCCTCAGACTGTTTAAGTCTTTAATATTGTAAATTTCTGAATATTTATTCATAATATAGTATTTGTTATGTTCCTAATAAAAACTTAGCTATTTAATAACTCTTATGTGTAAAATGTGGGGAGAAAAAGACAGATAATGTTATCTTCCCTTTCAAGGAAGCTAGCAGAATTCAAACATCAAAAACATTAATTCACATGCCTAACTGGCAAAATACAAGATTAGCTAATGCCATAGTGGTTTTAGCTCTAATCACAATTAGTAGCATAATTTGTATTTTTATTCTGAGCACAAAAGATGTTCAGCATAATGTTCATTACAAAATGGGCAAATTTTGGAGGACTCCCATATTGGAAACTGCAGGAGAAGCCCTGGCTACTACTGAGGTGTTCTCAACAACTGATTACAATGTCTGGGGTCAAAGTAAAAAAAACATAATCAAAGGTAAATTTTAAAAACTTTTTTTAAATAGTTATACTCCACTGAAATTAATGACTATAATAGGAAAATTTGTTTGAAACTTGAACTGAGTTTAATGGTTTATTGTCTATTATAGTTTAGCTTGTAATGTAAAGTGAAGCATACAAGTATTATGTAGCACAAATGTTATTTGTTCAACTTCATGATAGTTGGATGTTCGATAATAATGTTTGAAATAAATGCAAGATAAGTATTTGATATGCGCTTATATATGTATATGTTTTTGCATTTTAAAAATATTTTTATAAAAATTAGCTTTTATAATTTACTTATTTTTTATTTATTTATTTTAAAGGATAAAAATAGGACTTTAAGCCCCCTTATCTGTACATATATTATAAATAAATGTAATTGTATAATCAATAAAATATACCAAAAAATAATAATGTCAACAATATATTCTTTAAAATATTAATTGTTTACAATCGACTGATGAAACCACATTATGAAAGAAAGCGGAAAGAGAAAAGAAAAGAAAGAGGGAAGAAAAGGAAGTAATACATATCATTTTTAAAATTCAGATGCCATGGACCTGAAGCAAGCGAGGAAGCAGTACGTACTTACCGGGAAGTAAATTCATCATGACACTGCAATGCTGAAGTTGAAATGTTGAAAGCTTGGGATATGATTGGTGGTTTAGATAAGGAATATGGGGAAAAAGTTGATAGATACTGAGGGTATTTATTTGATTTAATGTTAAATATGTATATTAAAAATTTAATTTTATAAGTGCTTAGAACGTTAAGGTTGCTGAAGAAGTTAATATAGGAAGAAATATAATCTCTTGGTTTAAGATCATAACAGTAACTAATTCTGGAATGATAAGCAAGTTGATGGTGATGAGCAGATTGAGGAAAGTAAAATAATAGAGCTACAGTAAGAAAATAGAGGAATTATTAGGGATTTAATAAGGAGAACTCTAGTTTTCTGTGGAGTGAAAAAGCTAAGGCATCGAAGAGAATGGAGGCTTGAGTAGACCTTTTTAATAATAGAGCTCATATGGCCGTGCCATATAAGCTTGGAGTTATAATGCCGAGATTTTTAACTTTGAGACAAAAATTGATAGGGGAGCTGTAGATATAAGGGGATAGGCAATCTGTATTAATGGGTTTATTATAAATTAATAAGTACTGGGATTTGTCCTTGATGTATGGATTTAGAGGTTGAATAAATTTAAATTAACATTCAAAGGTTATGATGCTGAACTTGAATTGGTTGTTTATTGTATTTATAACAAAGTGAGGGGGGGGGACTTCATTCATCAGAATTTCAAGCATTTCTAATTTCTACAGTTTATATATTAGGTCTCAACGATTAAAAAAAAAAAAAAAACATTTCGAGAAGATTATATATATATAATTTTTAAAATTTTTTTTTTACTTTGCCTGAGGGGAAGATAAATTTGGGTGAACTTTTGGTGAATATGGGGTGCAGAAGGACCCCCCCTTGTTTAAGCTATTTTTATTAAAAATATGCAATTATTAGAATTTACAGTTTTGCAAGCTGGTAAAAAAATGCTTTTATTTATATAAATGAAAAATTACAACAGCAATATGTATGTATAAATTTATCATATTATTATTACTAAAACACATATAAAGGCGATGGCTGAATTTATTAGTTATAATTGTATATAAGGAGCTTTTTCTTAAGTTTAATAATCTTCATTTATTTATTTATTTTTTAAAATTTATTTTTATTTTGTATTAATTCATTTTTTTCTCTTAAATATGGCACATATTACATTTATTTTTAGTCATTTTTATTTCTTTATGTTATTTATAATATTAACTCAGATTAGTAATTGAAATGGTCAATCAGGAATTTTCTCTTTTTCATCATTTTATGTAAATATCTGGTAAGTGCCACCCAATTTGAACCATTCAGTATATCACATTTAAAGAGCACATGGCACAATTAAATACCCTTTCCCTCCTACACGATTGGTAGTTAAGTCCAAGTAGTTCCTCTTGCTCTACATATTAGAGAAATGTAGTATAAACTGAATTATTGTGAATATAGTGTTTTGCATGACCTGGATCTAATTTCATGTATAAGATGTGGAATTCACTAGTCGTGGCTGAAGTTAGCATTTTATTTTTAATTTTAAATGCAATTTTACTTATTAATTCTCCTAATTAAATGGTTAAGAATTTTTTTTATTAATTTCTACTTGCACCTGGTTGCCTATTTGCACTTATTGTTTATACCAAGATATTTCTTTATATATTATTATTTGCCAGGAAATTGGTTTGTCGGTTTGGGAGAAGACTTACTATTTTACGGATATAATTTAGATGTAATTTTAGTGTGCAACTGTAAAGGAGTAAGTTTGAGGTTAAAAAGTATAATATACAGTCAGGTGTGTTCAATGGGAGGTATAATAGCCTTTTTAGAAAATATTTTTGAACCTTTTCTACTTCCGGCAAATTCAAATATCCCCAGACTTGGTCTCCACAACAAACCACCGATCATATGGCACTATTAAATATGTGAATTTGTCTATCTAAAGAGATATTAAAAACTATAATTTAACTATCGATCGATGAACCTAAATTTAAAGGCCACAGGGTTTTATATTTTTTCAAATCTGATATATGCTAAACGCCAATAAAAGAAATTCTAACATCAATGAGGGCATCAATAGGGCCATACTCTACCAAAATGCAAACATCAATTTGTCGGGTTTGGTTTGGCCTGATTTTTGTATTTTGTTAAGGTTTCTTTCCGCCATCTAAATATCCTCTTTTCACCATTTTATTACCAAAAAACCAAAACAATTTTTTTATTGCAAAATGAGTGAAGATGAGCTCAAATTAAGTGAGCAACCATTCACAATGCAATGATGAATGCACTTTTTTTTACATCACAAAATAAACCTTGGTTTTTATTTTGACAGATGTAATTTTGGAAGACTACTCTCATGCAGTCAACCAGCTTTTACAACAATTTTGTTTTCAATTAGTTGCTATGCTTAATTTAGTTGTTTTGCTTAGGTTCACCCCTTCTGGGCTCAACTTTATTATTTTGATTTTTTTATTAACTATCGATTGAGTACTTAGATTTAAAGACCACAGTTTTTTATATTGAAGAACCTTTTTTTCTTTTACAAATCGAAATCCTAACATATCAACGAGGGCATCAAACTGACAATTTGTAATTGTTTATATGTATTAAGTTGGATTTGTGAGAGTCGGCCCAATTTTAAATTCACAAATTATATATTATCTGTTTAATGAAGATCATGACGTCAATTAATCGCGATCCCCTCAAACAGATTCATCGTCTTTGTCTTTTTAGTGGAATAGCTATTTTCCCTTCTTCACTCCCATGTTCCTGTTCCCCACCAAGCACCTCGATGAAGAAGGACTCCGACAAACCCGCTACCCACTGCCCTGAGCCCAGTCTCTTATGTGTTGTCGTAAGCGCCAGGACCGACGTCATGCTTCTGGTTGAAGCTGTCGCTTTCACCGTCTTCTTTACGGCAGCTCATTCCCAGCGTTTAGAAGGTAAAGAACGACAAATCGGTCAAAAAATTTTGATATTTGCATTGCCGAAACAAATCGGCCATGGATCGAGTTTCGACGATTTCCAATCGAATTTCGGTGATTTGTTTACAGTCAGAGTCAATAATTTGATGCTTGACCTTCGCTATTTTCTCTTCTTCGTTCTAACTTTTGACTTACCGAAATGGTTTCCATTCCATTCGACTTGACCGTTTACATTCTTGAAATTTCAACAGTTCACATTTTACAAATAATTCTACAACTTATCTCTACTAATTTAAATCACATCATAAAATATAAAAGTATAATTGCTATAAACATATTTAAAAGGTACGTACTACCTCCAAAGACACTAAAACTAGACTTTTGTTTCAGGTATCAGCTGAAAAATAACGCTATATTTAATTGCGTTCAATTTTCTTTCCAAAATCCTATTCCTAACTCGAATTTCACTCATATGTGTCAGTGTATCATTGATTCCTTTAGTGTTTCTAAAAACAAGTTCAAGTATGGAAAAATACGTTTTCACACCATTTTTTTTCTTCTGTACGTTTTTATTAATAAATGAGCCTTTACGGCAGGACATAATTGTACAGTGGCAGTACTACAATATTTATACGAAGCCTTAATAAGGCGGCATTCGGTTCAGATTTGTGTGTTGGATGTGCTTTTAGGTAGGAAAACAATTGAAGATTTCGTGAAACTTTCAGACAGGACAGGAAAGTCCCCTCTTCCCATCCATAAATGAGAATTTTATTGTTAAACTTGAATCCTTAAATGACACGTTAACACGTCAAAATAGATTAGAGCTTAATGTAATGTTACAGCAAAATTGGTTAAAATCGTTGAAGAGTTCAAACGCTTATCAAATATAAACCATCCGTTGAAAAATGCTTGATGAAACTTGGCAGAATAACAAGCTTCGGCTCTGTCCTTTATCTATGGCGAATTTGCTAAGTCATTTGTCCGTTAAATGTTTTTACATTTTTTAAATCAATAATATTAATTTTAAATCATTATTCGTGGATAACAGAAATCATCAATTTATTAAACATGGTTGAATAAATTATAAATATTATTTTCCTGATTTTTTGTTGTTGAACACGAAGTGAATACGAATATTTTGATATATTATTTAATTATTTTTTTATCTAAGGTTTTTGGTTGAGAAGAAAATGCTAGTGTCACGAGCGGGATTCGAACCCATGTCATTCGGCTCAATACGCCGCTGCCCTAAACACTTGAGCTATCGTGACTTCTAGAAGTCTAAATACACTTTCTTCTAGCTCAAATGGTTTAAGCAGTGGCGTATTGAGCGGTGGGTTCGAATCCAGCTCGTGACACTAATTTTTCATCTCAACCAAAAACCTTAGATAGAAAGAATAATTAATATGGTCAATTATGACCACTAAGCTGATATGGATTAGTTTTGATAGACATACTTCAAACTCCACCTTGACATCTACTTTCGAGTTCGATACTTACCCCCATTTTTGGCTCCTTCTGAAAACAAAAAATTTCAACCAGTCGTTGAAAAAACAAAACGTGTTCTTTCGTTTGCCACAACTTACGTATTCGAATTCGGATTTTCTATCTATACATCCATCGAAACTAAATGCCGAACCCGTCTAGATGCTGAACTCCACATCATTCAAAAATTAAACCCAACATATCCAAATTGTGCACTCTAAAACAACCTCACTCTTCCCATTAATTCATTAATCAATAATGTTCAAATTATTACCTACACTACATACATTATTTAAATGTTATTAGAAATACTAGTCTAGTTATTATGAAGTAAATATATATTTCCTATTACTAGTATCAACAGGTGTGTGACCCCATGAAGTTTAAGGCTAAAATTTTCATTTGTTTTGTTTAAATCTGGCTTCTTATCAGAACTAACTGTTTTTGAAAAAAAACTATTTTATCTTAAATTGATAATATTGTTAGTGTTATTTTTCTTCAATAATTTGTTTTATTAATTTTTTTTCTCTATCTAACTTTTTATCGTACGGAAGGCTTATCAAACCATCACTTATCTATTGGCATTCCCCCTATTTTTAATGAAATTCAACCTCTCCGTGTGATTTTTCTAAAAAAACAGGGTGTCTCTTTTCCCTTTGCATACTGACCATCCCAACGAATTTATATGAACCCTCGGGATGCCGATGTTTTTTAAAAAAAGCCATGAAAGTATGTCGTCCAGAGGCCCAGAATTTGAACCCGGGACCTTCATTTTACAGTGATGAGCACCGTATCAACAGTGCGGCTTGCCACCGATCGAATATATAAAAAATTTAAATTTTTACCTCCTTTTCACAATTTAAAAAAAAAATAAAACCCTACGTTTTTTAGTGTTTATTAGTTTTGAAGAGTTTTATATATGGCATGAAAACAACACAATTTTTTTTAGAATAAAAACGTATTTAATGAAAAATAACTGGTTTTAAAAGATTTGTTAATCAGACAAATGATAGTTAATTGTCCATCAGGTTTCGTGGTCAGATTGACCAATTAAATTCTTTTCAATTAACTAAGGTTTTGGTTGAGATAAAAAAGCCAGTGTCACAAGATGGATTCGAACCCACGACCTTCAGCTAGATACGCCGCTGCTCTGCCACTTGAGCTATCGTGACTTCGATCCACTCGGACACTAACTTCCCATCTCAACCCGACCCCCGAGTATTAAGCCAAAGGTCGTGGGTTCGAATCCCGCTTGTGACTCTGGCTTTTTTATCTCAACCAAAACCTTAATTAATTGAAAATAGTTAATACTATTAATTTTTATTGTAATCGTCACTTGGTTTATATTCAGAACTTTCGGTAAATCCACACAGGGTTCACTAATTGTTTGGTTATTTTAAAACATTTTGAAAAGATTATGTTTTGTATAGCTAATTATTTGAGCAACTAATCAGTAATTAATTGTGTAAAGATTTTAATTATTTGTTCTTTTAATCTAACGTCTTGTTTGAGATGAAAAAGCAAGTGTCGCATCCCGATTGTACCACTTGCTTTTTCATCTCAACCAAGATCCTAGATTAAAAGTACACTTAATTAAAATAGTTAATACGGTTAATTATGACTATAAATACATTGACAATAAATACTAAATAACTAGAAATGCATAAATGTGTAAAGATCATTATATTACTGTATTTTGTAATTCTCGAGATTTCTTTTGTGGAGGATTCTCGAGCGTCCTAAGAAGCACGAAATGTGTTGCTTCGACTTTTACATATTCTCATTCTGTTTATTCAATAAGTTAATACGATAATCTTTGTACAATTAATTATTAAGTAATTACTCAACTATTAGCAATACAAAAAGTATTCTCAAGACGGTTTTAAATAAATAAACAATTATTGAACCCTCTGTGCATTTATGAAAGTTTGAAAATTAAACAGTGTTACGATTACAATAAAAAGGCATACAAATAAAGCACCTTTTTCTTATTAACACATCTTTTAAAACAAGTTATTCTTTCTGAAAAATTTTTCTTCTTAACTTCTCACGACATGTATACACATTATTTTTTGTAAATAGTTTTTATTTATTCTCTTCTTATAAAACAGTAACAAGTGGAGTGGAAATCCAAAATATGTCCTAAAAAAAAAGCGCGGACGAGAGCTTCCCGCGAATTTTCTCTTGATGTTTCTGTTGATTGAATAATTCCGTTGTTTTACTAGTAGTCGTTATTTAATTGTTATTTTATTTTGTTATACTTATCATTGGTAAATAAAAAATTTACATAGTTCCACAACTGTCACCTCAATAGTCTTTCCAAAGCCTTGTCCAACAGAAGCCATCCCTACAACCCCATAAGGCGTCTCAAGAGGAAATGGCCCGCGACCTCCAATCTGTGGAGTAGGCAGTGAAGTTTAACTAGTGAAGTGGGAGAATAATATTGATTATTTGCGACCCTCGATGTAAATGTCTCTAAATTACTCCTTCATTTTCTGAACACCAGTTTTTATTTATCGATAGATTTCGGGGCAGCCATCCTGTGGGAATTTTAACATTTTAATTTGTCTGTGTCTGATTTTTGGTTTAATTTAACATAGTACTGTTAAAATCATTGTTATTGATATTGATTCATTATTGTTGTGCAAATATTGACAGACGGTAGATCATATGGAAAAATTGCGCAATATATTAAGTCAATCAAAAAAGTTTGATTTTTATGTGTAATGTGATAAATACTTCGTCTATGTCGTATATAATATTAGTTCATTTCTGTCTTTATATTCGTGCAGTAAACATCGAATATCGACATGTGTCAGATTTTACCAGCTTTCTGGAATGTAAAGAGTAACGATTTAAAAATAAATAACCGTATATTTAGGAGGAAGTAACCGAATACTGATTAGTCGTTAGTTAAAAATTTAACTCGCTGCGCACTTCGAAAGAGAGTTGAAGCAGATATAGGATTATATATATTTTTTTAATTTTCATGATTTTTCATGTTTTGAACCATTTCTTCATAAACCTGCGCTTTTTCTCTCATTTTGTTTTAAAGCTATAACTAATTGCTTTCTTTTTATTCCCCATGTGGACTGCAGAAGTGTAAGCCGTGAACTAGCTTATTTGGCAGTTTATTACATCGTGAGAGTCGGCCCAGCAATATTGCATCAATATATTGTGCTATAAGTATATACATGTGTGTATGTATATATATAAAGTCTTTTTTTGAAAGGTAGGATTTAATTGAAAAATTTAATTTTCTTCAACGATTTGGCAACTTGTGCCAATTTCAAGAAATAAATAAATTTCTATCTAAACTTAATTATTATATTATTATTTTCATATAAATTTTACTATAAAAAAGCTATAAAATAAGAACATTATTATAATAAAATGAAAAATAAACCTTTTCAAAGGAAAATTGAGATACAGGAAAATTATTATTATTATTATTAAAATTATTATTAAAAAAACATATCAAGTTTGAGCCAGAGGTAAATCAGAAACAAAATAATTCGCATTCAGAAATTCGA